TGGGAATGGACTGCAATATTGTTAATAGCACAAAGGTTATCAGAATATTGGCATACAGAGAAAACCTATTAATAGCAGCCACTATCCCACCCTGACAATAGCAACTAAATCAGCAACAATAATAGTGTCTAAGATAAAGACTGGATATTTACATACCATAAGAAACAATAATGTACAACCCTTAACAATAGAAAAGAGATCTATAACTATAGTATAAACACTAAGATAAATCAAACATTGATATAGATATTTAGTAGATACAAAACATCTACTAAATGTGACAGTATACCTCCACTAACAATAGAAAAGAATTCAGCATTAATAGCACAAAGTTAACTGTCTAAAGATTAATAAAACTTCAACTTTCACTGTTGGTTACAACAGTGAAAACGGAAGGAGAATAGGAGAATGAAAGAAGAAAAAGTTGAAAAATTAAGCCATAGACAATCAGGAGGAGAGAAAAGTGAGATAAAGGATACTGTTAAGGAGTAACAGGAAATGTGTAGACTTAGATAAGATAACAGAAAAATACTAACAAGAAAAAGAAGAAAAAAAGAATTAAAGTATTAAAAGGAAAAACAGAAAAAAAAGGAAAATCTTCCTACCCCCCAAAAAACAATGAAAGATAACAAGAAAAACAAAGGGTCCAAGAAAAAATATTTTTATTTGCTTAGTTTAGTTTTGTTTTGTTTTTGAGACAAGGTCTTGCTATGTAGTTCAGACCAGCCTTGAACTCACTATGTAGCCCAGGCTAACCTCGAACTCACAGCAATCTTGTGCCTCAACCTCTCAAGTGCCGGGATTACAGGTGTGTGCTCTATGTATTTTTGGATGAGTGGTTTCTTTCCATGATCCATATTTTGGAATCCAGCAAGTCAGTTTTCTCAAACTAGCTTTATAACCTGAGGGGGTTATGAGTTTCAGAATCCCCTCTATCTGTTCTTGCCAGCCTGTGGGAACTGTCCAAGCTAAGGCATATCCTTGCTCATGTTGATAGATGACAAAAACAATCAGACCTCTAATCTGTGCTTAACGTAGGCAGCAGGCCCAGGATTTAAGTATCCTGCTGAATTTAATGCTTCTCAGATCCAGCCACTTCTGCAAGCAATACACACTGGGCCTGGCTTCTCAACATAGAGGGCAGGGCCTCATGTCCTTCCCAGCCTGAGTTTAAACCTTTCAGAGTGTGTGTGTGTAAGCCTGTGCCTTCTCCACAAATGTCTTTCACCCAGTCACTGTGGGAGGACAACACTGGGATCCTTGATATGAAGTTTTTCAGGTGTTTTTGTTTAGGCAGAGTCTCACTGTGCAGCTCAGGTTGGCCTTGAACTCATTGTGCAGTCTAGGTTAACCTTGAACTCACAGTGATCTTTCTGCCTCAGCCTCCTGAGTGCCGGGATCATAGGTATACAGCACCATGCATGGCTGTTTTTCAGTTGTTCTGAGATAATCAACCCCTTCCTGAAATGGTGCCAGAGTGAAAACTCTGGTGATATGGCAAGTGCTGGACTGGATTCCTTCTCTGTGGCCTGCTGTGTGAAAGGAGTCATTTTTGGAGTAAAGCCTGCCCTTTACAATAGCCATGGGCCTTTCTTGGGGCTGGTGCTGCTGGGCTGGTCTGCTGCTTCTCCCTAAAGCTTCCGACCCTGAGAACTTATTTTGTGTCTGTAGAGACATGTTCCATTCCCTAGGAGCCAGGTTAAGCTTCCAGACTGCTTCATCTTTTTCTCTGTGCTGTGGTTCATTTTTCTAACTTCTCTATAGCTTCTTGTTTTCCTTTCAGTTCTTGCCCAATTCCTAAAAATCTACTTCTTTTTTTCTTTTTGCAAAGTTGTCATTTTCCAGGTGTCTGGATTCTGAGCTGGGGAAAGACTATATTTTGCTGCTGATTGTTACTCTACCCTTGTGGTTCCTCAATTATTGTACTTTTCAACATCAGCACTCCTGTTTGGTTTTTTGTCTTAATTTCTGTTTCTTTAGTGATATCATTTACTTCTTAAAGAAGCAGATTTTCCTGTTTGGTTTTGGTTCTTGCTCATGGTCTGCTTTAGCTATTCTTTGAATATAGACATTTCTTGTTTAATGACCAATTTATGGTCCTGGTATTAGGCCATTAAATGAATTGGTCCTAAAAGGCAGAATTGTATATAGTATGCACAATATTCAGAACAAAGAAATGGTCAAAGGAAATCCAACTTGATGACTTTGCATTTATTTGCATAACTCTTACATGCAGTACTGTAATGTGTAACAGAATATAAAACTATAGTACCATTCTGAACAGTACAATCAGCAAAAATTACAGTACTATATAAAGTACTATATATATAAAGCCTACAGTCTTTATTGTGTGACCACTGAAATCTCTGCTCCATTAGTTTAGGGTCAGGTCATAATTTAACACAGATCTATTAAATTTCTTTATTTATTATTATGCCTTTATTAAATGTATATAGCTTTTAGGGGCTGGGATTTAGCTCAGTGTTTCTGCCGCCTGCCTTGCAGGCAGAAGGTCCTGAGTTCAATCACCGGTACAAAAAAAAAGAGTATATAGCTTTTAAAAAGAAAGAAAAAAAGAAATATAACCAACTACATAAAACCATTCTCAATCTTTTCCAGATAGCTATATGTTGGGGTACTATTTCAATGTTTACCCAGGCTACAACTCTGCCTTAGCCTTCACTATCTCCTTGCATACAGCTTACAAGTGAGAATTTAGGGCATTCCCAAGTTTTTCTGCACATACACATGTAATTTTAGATTCTCTGGAAAAAAACCCCAATCTTCTCAAAGCTTTAATCTCCCAAGTAACTCTTTCCCCAGACTTTTCCTTTCCAAGAGTATTGTTCTGTTTATTCCTTCCTTTGATCGTTACATCTTGCCCCCATGGTATTTTGCCCAAGACCAGAAAATGAAGGGACAAAGGTTAAAGACCTGAGAAAAACTAAATAAACTAAGTAAACTAACATCCAGGTAAGATAAAGCCTTCATGGAAGTTAGAGCTGCAAGAGGCAAAGGACTGACAATCTGATGGCAATGGCAAACAACAGCAAAGCAACCAAACAACTTCAAAGGCCAGACAGTACTTGCGTTTTTGCATGTACTCTGCCCCTTTGTCTGCCCTCCAGAGAGCTTTATATAAACTTCTGGATTCCAGTGCTTCCTTGGTACCCCCTAAACCCCTCATCTAGTGAGAGCTTTCCCCTTTGCTCTACTAAAACACACTTGGTCATTCCCCCACTGCCTGCTGTGTTCTGTCGCTTCTTTCTGCTGTCATCTTAGAATAAGAACCAGGAGCGGGGAGAGAGCTGGTGACATCCCAAAGGTTTGTGTTTAAATGCTTTTGACAAACACTGCCTTGGGAAAGCGCAGGAAAATCTAAGGCAAACCCTTGAACTAAACCTACAGGGAACAGGTCAAAATGATACAGGAGATGAAATATGAAAATATTATATATCCCAACCTGTTAGATGTCTGATGCATAGAGTTGTGTTCTCTAAAATCGAAGAATGAATTCTAGGAACAACAGAGGTTAAGAGTAGGAAAATATTTATTGATAGGATAGTTCTTGAGAGGCAGGAGGGGACCCAAATGGCTAGCCAGGTACCTCACTTTACAGGGAAGTTTCATAGAGCAAAACCTATGTGGATACAATGTGGGTTACAGTTATGATTAACCAATAAGGTTACAAGTATAGTTGCTTAGGTAATAGTGATCCAATGGGGAAACAAGACATGTAACAAGTGTGCATGGAAAGAACAAAGATTCTCTTAGGAAATGATGGGTCCAGAGATCTTGATCACTGATGTCTATCTAGACTTCATTAGGCCTGGTGTTTGTCTTTGAGGAAGCATGAAGGTCTGATCATCTCATCTTTATCTCGAGGCCTGGTCTCTAACAGATGTGTCTCTGGCCACAGTTACGACGTGTTTCACCTTTGTCCTACTCTCTCGAGAGCCTAGCCCTATCTGACTGCCTGTAATATTTTTACCTAACTTAGCTGTCTATAATACTTAGCTGTCTTATAATAGTACTTGAGAATAAGATCTATATAATGCCCTTTGGTGCCAGTAATCTACACCAGGAATACAGGCCTCCATCTTGTCAGCTTATTCATTGCTTTTGCATATTGACAGAGTTTTCAAATTCCCTACTGTGTTGTTGTTTTTCTTTCTGATATCTTCACATCATTTATTTTTATGTTTCAGCCTTGCTTAAAACTCTTTTCCCAGTCTAGAATGCAGAGAAAGAGGTACATTTTTTCTATCACTGAAGCTATCAGAAGAATGTTTTGCTTATTTGAAAGCAGGGTCAAAGAGCAGTTGCAAAAGTTTTTAAACAAGGATAGCACCAGCAAAATAATTTATCTCCCCTAATGGCAACATTCACTAAATCACTGGCCTTGGAATTGCCAAGCCTTCAATGACAGAGGCAGTGCTTGGTGGGGTTGAATTCTAGATATTTTGCCATTTGGAAATTGTTTGGGTTTGGCAGGTCACTTAAGGCCAGTTCTTTACCTGTAAAATGGGAATAATTTACACTTACAGAATTACAGTAAAGTCTTAAAAAGGGCCGTTATATGTAAAATATATGGCACTCATTATAATTCGATTTGGATTTTTAAATTTGGTTCTTGATCACATTAGAATACATTGCTGGTTTTTCTTGTTTGTTTGTTTTTTAAGTGCCATTGGCTCCCCATAAGGAAGGATTTAAGGGTTACCATATGGTTTAAGGGGAATTTACTGTGGGGTTTCTAACGCATTAATTTTACTTATATTGTGTAGTTTCGTTGCCTTTGGGGAAAATTTCGGGTAGGAGGGGGCTAAAATCCCCCCTCTCCCCGCGCGCACGCCCGCCTAGATGCCTCAGTGCAGATGCAGCCCGCACCTGCACATATGCGAGTCCTTTGCGTGAAGCCTCAGGGTGGGGCTGAGCAGGAGGAGTGCTGGGCGGCGCAGAGCCCTGTGGGAGTCGTAGTAGTCCATGGCGTTGGAGTTGCCTGAGGCCGCCAGCTTGTCGTGCCCAGAACTCCATCCCCCGCCGGCCCCCGCGGCGTAGGCCATCGCCTCTTCCTGTTTCGGGGACCGGTAGCCGGGTGGCAGCGAATTGTGAGGATCTGAGGAGGGATCCTAGCCTTCTCTCCCAGTTCTCCGAGGTTGAGGGTTCGGCCGGCTCAGGTAGAGCAAGCTTTCGGTCGCCTTGCAAACTCGTCCCGTGGGAGAGTGAGGCACGAGTTAAGGCGGGCGAAGGGAGGGCTGAGCTTGCCGGGGAACGGGCTGTCACCTGGGCTGGCTAGTCTGTGATGCGGGCGGACTCGAGCTCCTTGGGAGAGAGCGGTGAGGCCGAAGCCGCGGTTGCGGAGACTGCTCCGGCGTGCGCTTCGCCCAGCTCGAGTGCGGTGAAGTCGGGGAGTCCGCGGGGTGCTCAAGCCTTAGGGCAAAGGCAGGGCTACGCCAGGTGAGCACCCCGAACCCCGGACGAGGGAGAATTAGGGGAATGGCAGGAATAGAGAGCCTTTCTTTACTCCAAGTTAGGAAGAGCTTGGGTGGGGGAGGAAGCCCGTTTGGGCTTGAACTGGAACCCCAAGATGGGCAGGCTTTTCACTCGACTCACTTGTGTGTTATCTTGATAGTGGGTGGCATGATATGATAGCTGTCTTAGAGTACTGGGGCCGTGAGGACGGGATTCTCTTCCTTTTAAATGAGAAAATTGAGGTCCACGAGTTGGAGCAGCCCAGTCATCACGAGAAAACCAATTTGTGGCCAACTTGGCTAAAACCTAATTGTCCCGATGCCTTTCTCCATCGTTGAGATCATTAGATCTGCAAACCCTAACATGTATCCCTTCCTTTTTTCTTTTTAATGCCCTGGGACCTGATAATAATCTGATAATAGGCAAATGCTGAAGTTTTTAAGCTTTTCATTAAGTCAAAGGTATCCTTGTCATAGCTTGGAGAAAAATCTGGCTTATACTACTTTCATACTTAAGTAAAAGGTTGATAGCAAATATGTCACCTATACTTTTTATACCTCTAGGATAATAAAACGTACCTTTCTTTCCCTGATTTATGCCCACTAGAGGTCTGAGAACAGTTAACCTTACGTTTCTTCTCACAATCTTACATACTGCATATCTGTTATACACATAAAATAATATACTGTTACTTGTGATTTTATAATACCTTAAGTATTTACAATAAAAGATAAATGCATCATGAGAAGATAGGATTATCAATATGAATTAAATATTAAAATAATGGTTTTTAGTACTTTTTAAAAGGATGTATGAGCATACAGGTTTCAAAAAATCATCAAGAGATTTAAGAATTTCTCTCAGGCCCAGATTTCATAGTATACTTAAATTTCATTCCTTTGCTAGTATTCTTTCTTCCTTATTGCCTTAACAAAACTTCAGAACACTTAGTGTATCTGGTATGGGAGGAGAGGGTTTTTGGTAAGAGCATTGCTCAAATCCACATTGACCTTCAGCACTGTCAGATTTAACAGCCCTTGAAGCAGTAATTGATCAGATTAGAAGCACGTTCCAACTGTTACATCAAAATTAGAGTATTCTAGCTCCTGTTAGCTGACCAGTAAATTATTCATAAGGAAGGAACTTAGATAGGTTTGCTAGTGGACTTAATACAATTAAAGACTTGTACATAAGAAAACAGATGTGCATACCATAGTGCTCCTACCAGACTGCCTTTTTTATGGTGTGGCTCCTTTTATATTGGCGCACTGCAGAAGTGGGTAAACTGACCAAATTTCACCTGGTGATGGATAGGTTTTCTCTTTACGGAGTTTTGTTGGAACACAGCCATGCATACTTACTTATATATTGCCTTTCATATAAGAGGCAGAGTTGATTACTTGCAGAGACGTGGCTGGAAAAGGCTAAACTATTTACTGTCTGGCCCTTTACAAAAAAACAATTTGTCAACACCTGGCCTAATAAACTTGAGTATAAATAAAGTGTCTGAAACATATGCAAGTATATTAGGTAATATTGATTTTCAGTTTCTGAGAAAGAACATGTAAATACTTATATGTTAGATCCACAGTCACATTTGGGCACAAGCCAGTGTATTCTATTGCAAATTGATGGAAGCATTTAGCATAGAATACTATAGATTTTTTTGTTTTGTTTTGAGGTGGGTTTTTTGGTACCAGGGATCAAATTCAGGTCCTTGCGCTTGCACAGCAGGCAGCAAAACCACTGAGCCAAATCCCTGGCCCTATAGATTTGTTTTTGCAAAGAATTTTGAAAGGAAGTTTCTGATCCTTATATGGAAAGTGCTGTTACTCTTTGAGATACACTGGTAGTCACAAACCTTTAAAAACTGTCACACTGATTTCCTCTGGTTGCTTTTTATGGAGACAAGCTTCAGTAAGGTGCTAATATTTTTTTAAAAAAACTTGGAAATATTACTCAAATCAGGTAAGCTCTTGATTCCCTTTTGGCACCTGTCTCAGTCTGTTTATGATGCTCTAACAAAGTATTTGAGACTGGGTAATTTATAAAAGGCAGATTGATAGCTGGGCATGATGGCCTATGCTTGTAATCTTATCATTCTGGGAGGCTGAGTTAGGAAGTTTGCCAGTTCAAGTACCGCCTGGGCAATTTAGTAAGACCCTTTCTTCTCGAAAACAAAGGGTTAGAGATGTAGCTCAGTGGGAAAGCCCTGAGTTCAGGTCTCCAGGTCACAGAACAAAAACAACAACAAAACCAAATTTATATTTGACAGTTCAGTTCTGAAAGCTGGGAAGTCCCAAACAACCTAACCTGTTTTATTCCCAGAAATAGATTATCTTACTTATTTTTTATTAAGCTGAAAAATAATAACTATTTCAAATTAACAGATTTCTGATAAATTAGGCATAAAAATCATTTGAAATATCTTTAGCAGCCAGGCACAGTGGCTGCTACTATACCTATAGTCCTAGCTACTCAGGGAGCTGAAGCAGGAGGATTGCTTGGGTGCAGGGATTCAAGGCCAACATGGGCAACATAGTGAAATCTTAGAGGAGGGGGTAGAAACTAAAGACATCATTAGGAAATTCTTATACTTTTCCATTTCTTTTGCATGCAAATATATTTTGACAAATAGTAAAATGTTATAAAATTAAACCAAGTTTTTTATCTTTTCTGATTTATGTAGGGCTAACTTCCTCAGTGCTTAGAATCTGAAAAAAATGACAAATGTGGATGATAGGCATCACCTCATCTCTGAAGCAGATCATGAAGTAAATCCTGGACCAATGAATATCCAGTTTGATTCATCAGACCTAAGATCCAAAAGGTAAGAGTTTTAAGGTACTTATTTTATAATTAGAATTTTTAGTGACTGAAATATAATGAATTATAACCTAACACATGTAAAACTGAGTATAAAATACCGAATTTCTTTTTCTTTTCCTGGTACTGGAAATTGAACTCAGGACCTTGGCACTGAGCTACATCCCCAGCCCCTCTTTTTTCTTCTTTTTTTAATGTAGGGTCTTGATAAGTCACTAAATTACCCAGGCTAGGCTCAAGCTCTTTGATCCTCTTGCCTCAGGCTCCCAGAGTACTAGGATTACAGCATCACACCCAGCTTAAAATATCTCATTTCATGCAGATGAAAACAACACTGAGATTCCACCTCACCCCAGAAAGAATGGCTGCTGTCAAGACATCAGCCAATAACAAATGCTGGCGGCGGTGTGGGGAGAAAGGAAATCGTCTCCGTTGTTGGTTGGCGTGCAGACTGGTGCAACCACTGTGGAAATCAGTATGGAGACACCTCAAAAAACTAGGTTTAGAGGTCCCATTTGACCCAGCTAGTCCCCTGCTGGGGATCTTCCCAAAAGAATTAAAAGAATCATACCACAGTGATATATGTCCACCCATGTTTATAGCAGCACAGTTTGTAATAGCTAAAGCTTGGAAACAGCCCAAGTGCCCATCAACTGGAAAGTGAATAAAGAAGATGTGTTTTTTTATAAAATGGAGTACTACTCAGCCATAAAGAAAAAGTAACTAGAGACATTTATAGCTAAATGGATGCATATTGAGGCCATACTCATAAGTGAAATAAATAGGACACACATTTGTAAATACCGAATAGTTTCTTTAGTGTGAGAAACTGAAAGTGTAAGTAAGAATTAAAATGATTAAAACGAATAATTGATAATTCGAAATAGGAAGAAAAGGTCCAAAGGGGTAGGGGTGGTGGGAGGGGACGGGGAAAGGAAAGGAGGGAAAGGAAAAATTATGAGAAAAGAAAAAAAAAAGGAAACAAAGTCTATGTAAATAGGGAAGGGCGCACAGGTAATGGGGAAAAAATAAGAACCAAGATGCATCATGTACAGGTACAAGCATCCAATGATAAATGTAGATGTATTGTTTACCTAAAATGTACCAATAAAAGAATTTAAGGAAAAAAAAATCTCATTTCTTACAGGGTTAATATAAATGAATGTGAGAAGAGGCTGTGAATACTACTTCCATTATTTTTTTTTTTTTGGACTGAACTCAAAATCTCTCTTGGGGAAGGGGTTGGGATAAGTTTTACAAAGTGACATGCATTAATATTACTTTATAAATGCACTTGATTCACTTAAATAAGTGTTTATTACCTGCTTTATTCAAGGTAGTATGCCAGGTGCTGGAGATACAAGAGTAGAAGTAATAGACACAGATCAGCCAGGGCAACTTAGTGAGACCCTGTCTCAAAATTAAAAAAAAAAAAAATTTAAAGAAAAAGAAAAAAAGACTGAGGATGTAGCTCAGTAGTAAAATGTTTGGCTAGCATATGTGAAATCCTGAGTTCAATCCCTGTTACTACAAAAAGAAAAGAAGAAAAAAACACACTCCACAATCTTATAACTTTTTAATTTTTTTGGTACCGAGGATCGAACTCAGGACCTTGTGCTTGCAAGGCAGGCGGCGGCACCACTGAGCTAAATCCCGGTCCCAACACAATCTTTTAAGTCTTTACCTTCTTCGAATTTAAATGTCAGCAGAGAGTTTACATAATTTGAATTTAAGTTTTATTTCACTTTATACCTAGAAAACCCAAAAGAATCCACTGAAAATATATAAATAGTTGGGCTAGAGATATTGGGCTAGAGAGTACTTGTGCCTAGCATGTGTGAGGCTATGGGTTCAATCCCCAGTTTAAAAATATATATATATATATGCATACATATACCCACACATGTACATGCACACAAACATATAGTAAGAAAACTCACTAAATAGGCACAAAATAAATAACCTTCCAATGAGAAAATGTAATGGAAGAAAAAATGCATTGAAAGTCTTAAGAATGTGCAAAATCTATATGAGAAAACTTTTAAATGCTCATGAGAGACATAAAACAAAATTGAGTATTTTATGAAATCTGAGATAATGATGAATATAAATTACATTTTAAAAATATAACGCTAAGAAAAACTGCTACCAATACTTCTGGTAAAATAATCTCTTAGGAGTTAGAATGTTTATTTTGTATTTACTGAAGGAACTCTTAGAAGTATTTAATATTTTAATCTCCTGAATATCTGTTTGAATCTGTTTCATGGATTCCATTTCTTTCTTATGTTGGGCGATCATGGTTTCCATTTCTTTCTTATGCTGGGCACTCCTGGCTTCCAGCATGTTTCTGAGCTCATCTGTTTTTATCAGTTTCTGTTCTAGAGCCTCTAATCATGTCTTTCACTCTGCTCACCATCTCTGTAGTTATCTGGGAGATTATTTCTGCTTTGAATTTTTCTAGAGCCTCATTCATCTGTTTTGTTGCTTCCTGTCCTATCAGTTCAGGGTGTCCAGGTGGTTGATTATCAGACTTTTGTACCTCATTTCCCCCAGAAATTGCCTTTTGTGGGATGGAAGTCTGGGTTTGTGACTTGCTTAAATGCCTTCTCATTTTTGTTTTTGGTACTGTCCCTGGTTTAGTTCCTGGGTTGACATTATGAAGTTGTTTATTGTAAGTATCTTTGTTGATCTATTTAAAACCCTTATGGAATGATTGCTTCTCAGAGGTGTCTACCAGATATAGCTGGTCTTTAGGTTTTGAGTCTCTAATGACTCTGAGGCTATCTCATTTTCATTATACCAGGAAGGAAAACTGTTCAGATCAATCACGACACCTTAGCCCAAGTCATACAATCAGCAACACCATAGCATCAGATACCTCTTAAAGAATGACAATTTGTGGTAGTTATTAATCTATCACCTTTAAAAAATAAAGGGCCTCCTTTAAGGTGTGTCTCTGCTGTCACAATAGACAATGTGGGCAGCAGTGGGCAGTTATAAGTCAATGAGTCTCAGTAAGCCAGTGACAGACCCGTGAGATTCAGGCAGATTTCTGGCTGCAAGTCCCAAGTTGAGCTCCCTGGCCTCCTGCAGGGTTGTACTCTGCAAGTTTCTACTGCAGGTTTCAGCTGCTTTTCCCCTGAAGAAAGTCCAGTTTCCAATGGGAGCTAATAATCCCTCCAATTTACCAATCATGGTGGTCTGGTCTGCCTTTACTGCAGAGATTCCCTTCACTTTTCTAGTGGGCTTGTTTTCATCAGGGAGCCTGAGACAGGCACTCTCTCTGTTGTTCACTTCTGGAGCTCAGGACAATGGCTTTTGTCCCCCTGTGCCTCTGCAGTGTGTAACGAAGTAGCTGCACAGCCAAAAGGCCAGAGGCCAGGGGGGTGGTGGTGGTGGTGTATTGTTGGAGGCACCCGCGCAGCCCAGCCATCAGCTGGTGAGGGGGTGGGTGACCTCCTCACCCTGTCCTGGTGGCTGGTGGAAAGCTGGTGGAGCAAGCCTGAGCAAGCAGGTCCCGGTCAGCCTGCAACCGCTCGGCCCTACTCGGCCCTGCCTGCTCCGTTCGGCCCAGCCGTCAGCTCTGTATTTAATATTTTATCATTTATCTCTTGTGCAATTATGAAAAGAAAATAGATACAAATATATCAGGTAAGATATTAGTGACAATTCATACTTAGAATCTGATTCTTTTGAATCACTTTTTGACCTGGAGTCAACAAAGTTGGTGTGTTAGCTCCCACACAGAATTGTCCTTTGTGCTATTATTGATGTGGCATTTCTTGATTTTCCTTCCAAATCACTGACTACATTTTGTTTTGATACTTGCACTTTCCTGATCTTACCAGAAGGTGTCACAGGTTTGCTTTTAAAAACATTACTCGTGTTTCTTCCTCAAATGATTTGACTACTGAAATGACCAGGGATGGTAGTTATTTGTCATGCCATACAGAATAACTGTTGTTCAAATTGCCACCTACCTAACAGTAAATTAAAAGGTGTTCTAGATAATAAGCTAGATCCTTATTTAGAAATATTTAAATGTCTACCTTAGAATCAGTAACATATGACATAATTAAAAGGCGTATTTTACTGTCAGTGGAAAGATTCTAAAATAAAGATGTCATGCTCTTTAAATTTTAATCCATAAATGCAATGTGATTTTTTTCAAAAAATGCCAGCAGCAAATTCCAAAGCTTATATGGACCAGTAGTTTCACTTTTAAGTACTAATTCACAATGACGTATGTACACAGTTGTTAGTATAGTATTTTTTATAATAGCAAATATTGAAAGCAACCAAAATGTTTTTTCTTATAGGACTGGATAAATTAATTATGGCACACTCATAAAATGAAATATATTTCATCCTATCAAAAAGGAAGGGACTTTATTACATATCAAAATGGAGCAACTTCTACAACTTGTTTTGTTAAGTGATAAAAGTGAAGTACAGAGCAGTATGTATAGACTGCCAGCATTTGGATAAAATAACACATCTTATATAATGTATGTATAAATGCAGTCCAGGGGTATAGATAGAAAACTGAGAGAGATTGCCCCTTTTGATAGAAGTTGAGTGCTTGGGGCTGGGGATTTAGCTCAGTGGTTCTGCCTTCTGCCCGGCAAGCACAAGGACCTGAGGTCAATCCCCGATACCAAAAACAAAACAAAACAAAAAAACTGAAATTGAGTACCTGAGGTAGGACAGTGTGGCAGATACTGTAAGGTAATACCCTGTATAATTATTTAGTGACCCCTTTTTGCTGTTAGCAGAATCCTAATTTAGTTAAGTGTTCAGTAATTCTCAATAGAGGAGATGAGGAAGGATTGATATAAACTTATCTTGTTAATTTTGTTTCCATTCTGTAAACTTTATCACATGAAAAATATATCTTTGTCATTTATAGTAGTCATCAGAAAAGATAATGAGTTAATCTTGTGATTCTCACTTGTATGTTTCAGTGTTAGTAAATATTAGCACTAATGAATGCTTAGGGTT